CAAATAGCTTTTTCTGTACGAACGATATTCAGTTTAATTGATCTAAAGAAAATGCACAGGTCGGAAAGAGTAAATTATTAAGAAAAGCCAATTACTTTCGATTAAGGAAATCTAGTAGACTACAATGCTATGATCAGTCCTGAACTACCGATTGAAAAGAGCATTTTGGTTAGTGTATAATCATCGAAGTGTATTGAATAACTTTGATCACTTTGCAACTACTGATGTCATAGGTGTGAAATTCTCAACGAACCTTGTACGGTTGTCGTTTTGCAGACCAGATTTCTTCGTTTGGAGTAGTGTTTCGATGTCTATGGTCAGCTGCTCATCGCTGCATTCTGTGCGTAGCATGCTGTTTGCAGAATCACGTTTGAACCGTCGTTTACAGCAGTAGTGTCGTATGAATCCAAGTTGCCGTTTTAAAACCTATCGAATCATATGGCGATCAGTGGTGTTGCATTTAGTTTATTCTTTGTCCTCACAAATCGTAGAAAAATGAGGTGCCAGTCTTGACCTGGATTAATTTCTGCCTGCTATATTTTACGGATTTTCTGACATGAATTGCCACCCTCGCGTATCTTGACATAGTAGGAAGTTACGAGTTAAGAGAGTTGAGATATTCGAATAAGTCTTTGTGCACAGCACCGCTATATTTTCAGATTGAGAAGTCGCAGCTGCGATGGGTTGGGCACATCTTGCGAATGCTTCCAGAAAGGAAGGCGAAACAGCTGCTAGCTGCTCAACCAAGCAGCCAAAGAATCAAAGGGAGGCCAAGAATGACCTGGGGCAAGTGCCATGCACCCAAGACTCGACTCGGGTAATCTTCTGCAGAAGCACTGACACAGGATTGGGAACTTTGGAAGCACTCTGACAGGTCTGTCTCCGCGACTCGAAAGGAGAAGCGGTCATGGAAGATGATGAACCGATTCAAATAACCGATAATTTTATGCAGATTTTGAGGCAGGAAGAGCATGAAAACCTGGGTAACATAGCCTTACGTTTGAGGTTCGCGGTTGTGCAAATCATGTACTTTCGAAGAAAAGTATTCAGTGCTCAGCACATGCAAGTGGACTGCGGTTTAGACACGGATTAGTTTAAGTTTAAGATATGGTAAATGGGACCTTAAAATAATGAGCGCGGCAATACTTCACCCAAATCGTGAATGGGGAACTCATCAATTATGCAAAGATCATCTTTAAGGCTGTGTACTCATCTGTCCCTATTTACGGTCATGAATGTTGGATAATATTGACTAAAGAATGCGATTCTGGATACTAGCCGCTCTCCTTCAATGATTTTCTGGCTTGAGGAAGGCACAAGTTACGACAGTCTGATCTACCACTGGTCTGTCCCTTATAAAAGGCTGTGTATTTTGTTCCGGCGATGAATCGGTATATGTTTAATGGAAAAGGAAAATAAGTCTTAAGCATTCATTGTAATAAATGTAGATAATTATTCAATCATAGTAACTGGTCATCAAGGATATGGTTGCATTAATTAGAGATTTGTTTAGTTCACGATGTTAACGTGGCAGCGTCGAACCGGAATGCTCAGGTGATCGACGGAGAGCTGAGGATGTCGTTGCTGAATGGCGATTGTGAATCGTACGACATGGAGCGAGGCTTCACGCGCCACCTCATTAAGGATGTCGACAATCCGGGCATTGTCGTACAGCTCGGTTCGCCGTATATCATAAATCACATTAAGATGTTGTTGTGGGACCGCGACGAACGTTCATATTCGTATTATATCGAAACATCGATGGATCGGGAACGTTGGGTGCGAGTGGTCGATTACAGCGATTACTTGTGCCGAAGTTGGCAGTACTTGTATTTTCCGGAACGCGTAGTGAGGTAATGCCTGACTTTCTTCCTATTGAGCTGGCTATTGATTAAAATTGAGTGATCTTTGGTGCAAAAGATGATTTACAAAAGTTGGTATATGACAAATGAACAAATACAAAACAAAAACGGACCATGAAATTTTGGATTCCCATCAGTCCTTGGGTTAATCAGGCATCAGAACAGCGAATGAAACGACCGGCCTTCGGTAAATTTCAGTTGAACACCTGAAAGGAATGTACACTGATTTTATCGTCACTTCGAAACTAGGAAACCATGTACAGCGGATGAGTACAGAACAGTTGTTGTCTTTATGGAGCACCTGATTATAATGCACCCAAACTCGTCAGCGTCGCAGTTAGATGCATTAGCTTTTCCTTCACTGGAAGTTCTGAACAGCTGAGGTAAAGAAACTAATGACAGAACGAAACACCGTATAGTGTATGCTTTCCAGACACGAGTGGTTATTTACGCCTGTGATCAACTCGGCGACGAACGAGAAATGAAGCTGTAGTAGCCAGAATTGACATAGTTTCTTAAGTTTTTTGAGATTGTTCTGTTTATTAGAAGGATATCTTAATTGCCTACCTGGACAGAAAGATAGATATTATGTCACTGTCCGCATTAAATTCTTAGAAAGGCATGAAAGTTTTTCTCTCGACCCTCTGATCAGTTGGATAATTTCTGGCCTAGGTACACCGAGGATTCAGTTGATATCTCATGAATAATATAAGGAAATAAAGAAAGTGCAACATAGTTTCGCTCACTTAATGGTGAAGATGTAAGAAATTTTGGGTGACAATCTTGTAAAACTTTTAGACATATCGCCTTCTCGATGAAGGTGATGGTCTGATTTTCATTGAAGATCAAGTTGAAAATGTCAGATCTAAGGACTAAGTGATTCAAAAAATTTCGCTTGGTTTAGTCACACGGTATTATAACTGCTGTTTTGCTCCTAAATTACTAACCACCATTTACACAGGCCACAGCTTCATAATATAATAAAACTTGCAATATCAATGCATTTCCTGCAAAATTTTCTGATTGAATAAGTGCCGTTCTCATTTATTACATTTTTAGGTTTATGTTAAGCTTTTTTATTGTGTTAAGTGATGCCATTCTCCCTCGGATCTTGAAATAGATTTTATACAATTCGGATTATATCTGTTTTAGTTAGGGAAAAATTTGTACTGTAGAATTATATATTAATCATTAAAACCTTAACATCTCCCCATGTTTTTAGGTACATCAAAATTGTTGGCACCAGAAATACTAAAAACAACGTTTTTCATCTGGTTAGTCTCGAAGCCATGTATTCAACACGCACATTCAAACTGAAAGATGGGTTTGTTGGTGAGTTGCTGTTATACAGATTATCAGTCAAATAAAGCAATATGTATTTATGTTAATTTCCGATAACTTAATTATGGACAGGCTGATATGACTGTTAAATTTCCATTTTGTTCCTTTTTTGTGTAACCAGAAATGGTGCGTCAAATTTCACCTAATTTCAAAGAATATATGTCAGTCTTCCAGTTGTTCTTTTCAGTTGTTTCTTTGCGTAGATTGTTTTTCAGAATATTTCTTGCTTGAACGCGCATCTCGGCCGGTGGCGAGCAGATCAGTGCACTTTGGTCTGAGTCTGTTTTCTGAGTTCGATGATAGGTTGAACATGATGTTGACACGTCTACATGATTGCATTTAAATTTCATGTGCAGGTTAATGACGGATTCTTTCGAACCGTAAGCAGAGGTGTTTGTTCACAAAGTAGGGTACAGTCCTCCCTCTTGTACGCTTCAGCCAATTGAATCACGATATTCTAGTAGTGAACCTGTTCTTTTTAATCGAGTTATGGTGATACAAAGCAATGAAAGGTTTTCGTAGCGCCTGTCATAGAACGGACAGAGTTAATTTTTTTAATATTCTTTGTAATTGAAATGTTTGCTGAGAGTGAGAGGAGCTAATTTTAAAAGAATGACAGGCTTTGAGAATTAAAGAATGAAACATCGTTTTCACCTTGAGACTAGCGTATTACTCTGTATCTCTACAGCATCGAATAGAATGAAAAGACAAGAATTTATTGGTATCTTCCAATCATGCAAAATTTGATATTAAATGTCGCTTGTTTGTGCTACTTATCAACGTCAGGGCATTGGATTCTACAGTGATGGATATAATATCATTTGGCTTCATAGAATGACTTCGCAGTAAATTTTCAAGAAATGCTGGCGCTAGATATGGCAGGAATTTGAGGTCACGCATGCAAAATTCATTAGTCTCTTGATTATCGGATCTTTATATCAGTAAGGGCAACATCTAAGGCAGTCCATCCAATTTCTATTTTAGGTTATTGACGATAGGGGTTGGTCGATCTTTACTCGTAGTGCACTTAATCTTTCTCGGTTGGATGAAACAGATCCTTCCCTTTTATGATTTGAAAATCTTAGTTCGACAGCGCTTCCCTTCTTTGTAATGATTAACGAAAATAGTAGTCGATTGGTTTTGCTATATATCAAGTTTATAGTTGACCCAGTTGATAAACCTAAGTTGGGAGACGAACAGTGAGCAGAATGACAGCATTGCCAGCGTATTTGATACAAAGTGCTCAAAGCAGCATTCGAAGTTATAGATCACGAGGGCCTTTATTTTGAGTTCTGACTGAAGTCTTAGATTTCACATCCGTTGCCTGGCACACACAATCGAAGCAGAAATTAAGTCATCCCAAATGCATGCAAACAGATGCTTTACTTTGTAGGTAGCCGGTGCTGTAATTGGTCAGATGAGTCTGTCAGTGAATCTCATTGTTGGGGTTTAATGCTGTTGGTTAGTCAGTTACAATGCTCGCTCATTTATGTGACAGATTATACGCCTATTTTGTTCACTTCACGCTTCACTCAGTTTTAAAAAAAAATGCACGAGACCATGCTTTAGCGGTCCAAATGTTACAGAGGTTCATTTTTTTTAATTTTAAATTTCAGTGATCATTTATTTGTCGAAAAATTACCGAAATCGTATAGGCTATATACAAATGACTAACATTATTGGTTGAGTCTTAACGATTAAAATCTTATGCAAATTGACCATTGGTAACTAAATGTATTTCAGTTCCAAATGAAAATGTATCTCTTTTGAAACGTGGTGCCAGCGTCATCGAAGGCATCAGTTGTACTCCTGATGCCCTTATCAACGGCGACTCGGAGCATTACGATTGGGACTCAGGATACACGTGTCATCCGATTTCCACCGGTGCCATCATCGTCCAGCTGCCGCAGCCATTCATTTTGGATTCGATGCGAATTCTGCTTTGGGACTGCGACAGTCGGAAGTACAGCTATTACGTCGAAACGAGCATCGACTGTGAAAACTGGAAGTTGCTCATGGACAAGAGGGACGAGGAGTGCAGGTTTGTTTCGCCATCTTTTCTGATCTTACTATTTAACTTTTTAATGAAGTTGTAACATACACTAAGTGCTTATTATGCAATGCTCATGTTTTTCTATTAATATACATCATAAGCAGTGTTTAATTTTGCAAAATGCTGGATAATATGTCTATCAGTAATATCTAGTCGAACTTCTGGCTCATGTCTCGCAAGGCAATGGCCGTTGGCTCGTCTGGAGCATCTGATTTGCGTCAAATCGTAAGGGAAATTTTTTGCTCACTACTTTAATAGCTACGGGACTCATCCAGTCTGCAGAAAATTCCTATGCTTTGTTACGGTTGATATTTAACAAAACTGGATGATTAGGGTCACCCTGATGCGCAGGTTCGTCTTTCAGTATCTTTCTCTAATACTGATACATTCTGACTATCTAGGAAGGGTGAGTTGCCTGCCCTAATGTGCACGATTTCCCAGCTCTGTGTATTGAAGCTTTACTTGGTCGAGGAGAGCTTTGTTTTCTTCGGGGATGCTCGTTTCGACCTGCCGCTCGCATTCGTTCGGCCAATCATCCTTCCTCCCCAGTTTGGCAGGTTGCGTTTGTCGTTTGAGCAACCTTGTTTCCTGTTTCTAGTCAGTAAAACTGCTGGTTTGCGTGGTAGTAAATCCAGTCAAAGGGTTCCTGTTTTGCAAAATTATGTAATGAAGCAATAAGTTTTATACTACTTTTTAATTGCATTAGTGCCATATTTATTATTATTACCTCTGTAACTTGCTTTAAATTTTTATCAGTATAATTCATCAACGGCAGCCATTTTTGATCCACTGCGGATGACGGCCTCTCCAATACCTAGCTATGAACTTATGTTTTCTGCCATTATTATCCATCTTGATCCAGCGAACTGCTTTAGCTCATTCGGCCACTGATCTGGAGAACTTCATATTGGATGCTTTATTCTCTCTTGAAATCCAGTCTAGCAGCTTTCTGGTCCAGCAAATGTCAATTCTTCTTGCAACATGCCCTGTTCATTGCTATTTTAACTTGCTAACTTGGGCAATGACATCGCAGACTCTTGTTTTGGCTCTCACTCACTCATTCCTCTTTTTATCTTTCCTTGTTATTTCCAACATTCGTCTTTCCATGCTGCGTTGTTTAGCCTTGAGATTCTGAGCAGTTTTCAGATTTGGGGTCTATGTTTTGCATCCAACGGTTAGCACCTGAAGTATACACTGGTTAGACATTGCCTAAATGCACTTGAACAGTTTGCGAGATTACGTATTTTTTCAATATGTCCTGAGTCTTTTCTAGGTTGATTTTCAATCCTGTTTTGATGTTGGAATTAATTAAGAAGTATGAATAACAAGTTATAAACAAAAATAAAGTATATTTTATTTTTGAAATTATTTTGACATTACTGGTGTTACAATTGTATCTACGGTTTAGCATGTTATTAACGAATTTTATTGGTTAGTCTTGTTATTCAATTCGTTATATTCATTAATTTCGTTTCGTCTTTAAGAAGTTTATTGCTGTCACGTTCCAGAGCTCTGTAAACCCTAACTACTGGCAGTTTATTGCTCATATGATTATGTGAACTAAACTTCATTTCCTTGTGACAGCGTTTTTATGATAATTATTGAAACGTCAAGATATGGGAGACTGGAATAATATACTTTTTCAGTAGTTACACAAAGGCTATGAAAAGATTCAAGAATTTGGTAGGTTGGTCATTTTCGATGACCGTTTATCCTTTCGCGTCTTGGAGACAGACACATCACACAGTGCTTCCAACGTTCCTTCCTATGCCAGAGTTTGAATTTCGGCAGAAGATAATATTGTCAATCGAATGATGGACTAGTACTGACGTTTCAGTGCGTGTCTTGAGGGCTTTCTCCTAGATAGAGAAGTGAGTTACCTTCGAAAATTCTTCTTACTATTTGCATCATTTCATACGTTTAGAGCGAGAAGGCATTCTGTAGATAGAAATATGGCACAAAATGAATAAAATGCAATTCTAGTAATGCCATAATACGAAGGGTGTTGTATAAGGATAACATTCTCAAACATATTTGCTCGCATGACTGCCTATCTGTGTGTTTGTTTAAAAACTCTAACGTAGTATTTCTAAAGGGTTCTGCATCAAAAGCTGTTATTTATAGACTTTTTGCTTGCTGGTGGTTGCTAACAGTCGTTTTTTGTTCAGTTCCTGGCAGCATCTCAAGTTCGAACCGAGACTCGTGATTTACGTGAAAATCGTGGGAACTCGAAATACAGCGAACGAAGTGTTCCACTGTGTTCACATTGAATGTCCTGACCAGACTTGTCTCCCTTACAGCAGCACCGAGTGCATAAATCGAATCACTCGAATTTGACAACTTTTCGTTAAGTGTTGGACGCTGTTAACAATTTGATAACTTTATTTTTCTACCTTTGACTGCTGTGCTTTTTTATTCTTTGTTCTGCCAGCTGTGATGGGTGCGCTCCAATCAGATTCATAAAATGTTTTCGCTGCTGACTGTCGCTAATACGTTGGTGCTGGAGTTTTGTTATGCAAACGTATCCTTAAAATTAGTGCCTATTAGATTTT